CTCCTCCTCCTCTTCCTCCTCCTGAACCTCCTCCTCCCTCCTTCTGCTAAACCCCCTATTCCTCCTCCTTCCCTCTCCTCCTCTTCTCCTTCCTCCTCCTCCCCTCATCATCATACTGTTCTATGGATTCCTCCTCCGCCTCCTCCTCCTCTTCCTCCTGCGTGGCCCTTCTCCTCCTCCAGGCCTCTCATCCCTCAGGCTCGCCGCTCAGTTCGAGCGCTCCCTCGACCTGCAGACCTTCAAGAACGAGGCCTGCTGTCGGATGCCCGTCCTGAGGGCCAGGAGGCAGGGAGGGAGGCTGGACGGGAGGGAGGACCCTGACCCCCGATCCGCCGTACCGTCGGACCGAGGTACAAGATCGAGGCCAGTTCGGGGAGGGGTATTCTAGTGTTCTTCCTGCTCGTCGGATGTTCTTGCGCATCCTGGGGAGGGCACCCCTGGATGTTCTATGTGTGTTTTGGCCGGCGGAGGGTCGCGCGTTCCCGAAGGATGCTCCTCTGCCCTGGGTCCGACTGTACTTCGCCGAAGCTGTTGGAAGCAGGGCGGACACCCCCGCCCTACTTTTTCAGGCTCCTCTGGTGCCGACGTTATGCCCTTCCGCCCGACCTCTCGGCGGCGGCAACCTCCGCCCTGCTGTTTCGCGCCTCGTTTGTGGTGCAGTCCCGGCACAGCCTGAGAGTCGGGAGATCGATATAGATTTTTTGGTGTATATATATATATATATATATATATATATATATACATATAACGGCGCACCGGGTCCGGGGGCCCGGGGCCGGGACCCCGACCACAAATGTGGGCCCCGGGGGGCCCGGAGGCTCGTCGGACCGCCGGACGCCGTCCAAGATCGTTCGCAGGCGGTTTCGGAACGCGCTCCGATGGCTCCAGATGCCTTCCAAGACGCCTGTCATGACACCAAGAAGGTCCCAGAAGCCTCCAAGACGCTCCGAGAGGCAGCCCAAGAGAGGCCCAAGAAGCAAAAATCGTGCCATTCTATGGGAAAACGTATAATTTTCGCATGTTCGCCTCTTGGGCTTTCACCGCGTCCAAGACGGCCCAAGAGGCGCCCAAGACGGTCTACGAGGCGTCCGGGAGCGCTCCAAGGCTGCGCACGAGTGGCCCAGGACGGCCCCAAGACGGCCCAAGAGAGCCCCAAGACGAGTTCGAGAGGGGTCCCAGACGGAGAAAACCAACCTCGAATTCCGAGCTTCCGGCCCAAGAGGCTCCAGGAGGCGCCAAAATGCCGCCAAGAGGCGCCAAAAGGCTCCCAAAAGCACCCCAAGACGTTCCGAGAGGCACCCCGAGAGAGGTCCAAGAAACAAAAATCGTGCCATTCCTATGGGAAAACGTATATTTTTCGCATGTTCGCATCTTGGGCTTTCACCGCGTCCAAGACGGCCCAAGAGGCCTCCAAGACGGCCTAGGAGGCCTCCGGGAGCGCTCCAAGGCTGCGCACGAGCGGCTCAGGACGGCCCCAAGACGGCCCAAGAGAACCCCAAGACGATTTCGAGAGGGGTCCCAGAAGGAGAAAGCCACTCTCGAATTCCGAGCTTCCGGCCCAACACATCCCAGGAGGCGCCAAAACGCCGCCAAGAGGCGCCAAAAGGCTTCCAAAATCAGCCCCAGACGTTCCGAGAGGCACCCCAAGAGAGGTCCAAGAAGCAAAAATGGTCCCATTCCTATGGGAAAACGTATACTTTTCGCATGGTCGCCTGTTGGGTTTTCACCGCGTCCAACACGTCCGAAGAGGCTCCCAAGACGGCCTAGGTGGCCCCCCAGAGAGTTCCAAGACGGTTCACGAGGCGCCCAGGACGGCAAAATTGGACTCCAAAATGGCCTAAGAGAGCCCCAAGGCGTGCCCGAGAGGGGTCCCAGAGGGAGAAAGCCACTGTAGAATTCCGAGCTTTCGGCCCCAAGAGGCTCCAGGAGGCGCCAAGAGAGATCCAAGAAGCCCCCACGAGAGACCCAGGACGCCCCAAGAGGCTCCAAAGGCGGCCCAAGAGAGCCCCAAGATGGGCCCGAGAGGGGTTCCACGCAAGTTGTTATTGTATCGCTCGGGAAAGGACGAGGATGAGGAGGAAGAGGAGGAGGAGGAGGAGGAGGAGGAGGATTCCTGGGTCTGTGACTCGACAGAACCTAAGCGCGCGCGAAGCGCGCGCGTGGTTCTAGTATATATATATATATATATACGTATATATACACATAGATTGCGGATCCGCATTTTTTCAGGGGAGGGCCTCGACCTCGCGTCGCGAGACCATCACGCGAGACCATCAAGACGGCACGTGAGGAGACGCCCGTCCTCGGGACGGGGTCAGGTGCAGCCGGACCGAGGTGTAAGGTCGAGGTAGTTCGGGGAGGGTACCCTCAAGTTCTTCGTTTTTGTTGGGTGCTCTTGTACATCATGGGCGAAGGCACCCTCGAATGTTCTTCAGTTTGGGCAGGCGGAGGGTCTCACGTTCTTGAAGGATGTTCCTCTGTCCTGGGTCCGGCTGTAGCCTCTGGGAGTCCAAGTTGAGAAAAACCTCACGACGCGTCGGAGGCCTGGGTGCTTCCAGAGGGCTGTCTGTGCTCAGCCCCGCAGAGGGCTGTCTGTGCTCAGCCCCGAAGCCCTTCTGTCACCACGCTCAGGGCTCGGGGGAAGGGAGAGTTCCAGAAGCTGTCGCAGAGCGGGGAGAAGGGAGGGAGATCTGCGGAGGCCCCAAGAAAAGGACGACGACAACGACGAAGACGCAGCCCGACGACAGCGGGGACGACGATAGCGACAACGACAACGACAACGACAACGACGATAGCGACAACGACGACAACAGCGACGGCAGCGGCGATGGCGAGGATGATGACGAAGACGTGGACGACCACGACGTTGACGAGCACGACGGCGAGGACAAGGACGACGATGTCCCTGTCTGGAGATCCCCAGAAGCCGTCTGGTCACTGGAGGCCTCCGGAGACCCACAGGACAGCTCGACACATCCTGAAGCGTGTGTCTCCGATGCTCCTGTAGGTCCTCGTGCGGCGACGACGGCGACGCTCACGACCACATGACCGCAGACGACGACCACAACGACCACGACCGACGATCACGGACGACCACCACGACGACCGCGACCACGAGGACGAGGACGAGGTACAATAGGTTCATGCAGCGATGGCGCGCCAGCGACGCCAGCGAAGGCGTTCGAGATTCAACTCCGCATGATAGAACGACGCGAAGGGCTGAGGGACACGGTAACGCCACAGCACTTGACGGAACGCGAACTGGAACAACAGGGGCCATGATTGCTTCAAAGTTGAACGATTAAGGTGGTGTCGAACATATTTCTGCGCGCGCCGACCCGGCCCCCCGACGTTATCATTTCTCATAACGTCGACCCCCAGAAGTCTAGACCCCTTCCCCGGGACCAGTTTCTCATCCTGAGGCGTTCTTTGACGGTCCCGGGGCCTGGCGAGGGCCCCCGGAGGACGAGCATACAGAAACACCTCCCGTCGTGTTTTTTTCATGCCCCGAGGGGGTCCTGGGAATGCCTCACGAGAGCATACCGCAGAGGAGAAGGAGGAGGAGGACGAGGAGGGGGAGGAGGAGAATGAGGAGGAGGCGGAGGAGGAGGAGGAGGGACGGGAGTGGGAGGGGGGTGGGGGAGGGGATTGGGAGGGGGGAGGAGGAGGAGGAAGGAGGAGGAGGATATGAGGAGTAGGAAGGAGGCGGAGGAAGGAGGAGGAGGAGGGCGGAGGAGGACGAGGACGAGGAGGAGGAAGAGGAGGAGGAGGAGAGGAGGAGGAGGAGGAGAGGAGGAGGAGGAGGAGGAGGAGAGGAGGCGGAGGAGAGAGAGTGGAGGGTTATAGGGGGAGGGAGGAGAGGAGGAGGAGAGGAGGATGAGGAGGAGGAGAGGAGGAGGAGAGGAGGAAGAGAGGAGGAGGAGGGAGGAGAGGGGGGAGGGGAGGAGGAGGAGGAGGAGGACGAGGAGGAGGATAGGAGGAGGAGGAGGAGGAGGAGGAGGGGGGGATAAGATGGGGAGGCGGAGGAGGAGGAGGAGAGGAGGAGGAGGAGAGGAGGAGGAAGGAGGAGGGAGGAGGAGGCGGAGGAGGGGAGGAGGAAGAGGAGGAGGAAGGAGGAGGAGAGAGGAGGAGAGGAGGCGAGGAGGAGGGGAGGAGGGGGAGGAGGAGGAAAAAAGGAGGAGGAGGAGGAGGAGGAGGAGGGGAGAGGCGGAGGGAAGGAGGAGGCGGAGAGTGAGGAGGAGCGAGGAGGAGAAGGAGGAGGAGAGGGGGGAGGAGGGGGAGGAGGGAAGGAGGGAGGAGGAGGAGGAAGGAGGAGGAGGAGGAGGAGGAGGAGGGAGGAGGAGAGGAGGCGGAGAGGAGGCGGAGGAGGAGGAGGAAGGAGAGGGGAGTAGAGGGGGGAGGAGGGGGGAGGAGGAGGAGGAGAGGAGGAGGAGAGGAGAGGATGAGGAGGAGGCGGAGGAGGAGGAGGAGGAGGATGGAGAGGAGGAGAGGAGGACGGAAGGAGGAGGCGGAAGGAGGAGAGGATGAGGAGGAGGAGGAGGGGGAGGAGGCGGATGAGGAGGAGGAGAAGGGGGAGGAGGAGGAGGAGGAGGAGGAGGAGGAGAGGGGAGGAGGAGGAGGAGGAGGAGGAGGAGCAGGAGGAAGAACAGGAGGAGGAGATGGACGACGTCCTCGAGGAGGCGCGGCGGCGCAGGGCCGTCCTGCCCTCGCCGGGCGCGGCCCCCGCAGGTGCTGCTATTCCACGGCTGCCCCGGCAAGGGCGCCCGGGACCCCATCGGCAGGCGCGGCACGCGGCTGTGGCTGGCTCCGGAGGAGCACCCCCTCCGCAAAAATTGGAGCGGGAATGTTTTTGTTTATGTTTTTCTTTTAATGCTATATATACATATTTAATGATTCAAGCAAATGCACTTGCATGGCGTTCCCCCCCCCCCTCCTTCCTTCTCTCGCCCCTCTTCAAACGATCACCGGCGTGCAAGTGCCTTTGGACGTGTGTGGTTTCCGCACGTGGAAGTCGTTTGCGCCTTGCTTCAGGTTCAGCCCCCCCCAGCCATGCAAGTAAACTTGCCGGAGTGCAAGGGCCGTTTTAGGCCTCCGGGGGCCCTCGCCAGGCCTCGGGAGCGTCAAAAAATTACCCAGGGCGATAAATAAACCGGCCCTGGGCCCTCTGGGGAAGTGGTGCGGACCTCCAGGGCGCACGCATCGACAAAATGGAAGCAGTCGGATGTCTGGGCCTGTCACGTAGTATCGGGAGCCTTGAGACGGGGGTCAAGGCAAACGGGGGTCAGCCAGAGCGCCGGACCTTGCAGGACCCTGCAGAGCGAGGGCCAGCGCGCAGGATCCTGCAAGGCCCGACTGGCCCGGGTTTGCATTGAGCCTGGTCAGTGGACGCGAGGGGGCCAGACGTACACTGGAGTGGGGGCCTCAGAGCCCCCCTCGGGGCAACCAGCCGCTGCGTTTCGGCGCCCACCGTGGCTGGCGCCGTGGCCGCTGCGACGCCTCACTGGGGGTTGCGTCGTCCTGGGGGCACGTTGGGCCCCTCCCAGGTTGCGTGGACTCGGCGGGGGACCTCGGTCCCGCTGCAGCGCTCGGCGTCCAGATGGCCTCGTGGCCGCGGATGCCCCGGAATGGCCTCCGATAGCTCCAGAATGGCCCGGGGATGGCCTCGGGGCGGCCGCGGACAGCCCCGCTTGGTCTCGGATGTGGCGCGGATGGCCCGGCCAGGGGGGCAGGTGACGTCCTCCAAGAGGTTGCAGCAGAAGCTCTGCACCGCGCAGATGGGTGGGGGATTGGTGTATGTCTGGGGCGGCCGAGGTTGCCCCCCCCCTGTCAGGCGATCGCAAGCATGGATTAAGGGGGCGTGGGTTAGCGACGGGTCCCGTTTCCATGGGAAATCGCGGATTGCCGCCGCCGAGCGAGGCGCCACCAGCCGCATTTTGGGGAGGGCACCTACCCCGATCCATGGATTTGGCGACCGCGCGCCAAACCCATGGATCGCTAATCCATGTTTGCGCGCCCCCGACTCTTTTGAACCTCACCCCGAGGATCCGCAAAGGACTCGTGCGCACCGTACCCGCGTTGGCGTCTCCTGAGGCGTTGCCGACCCTCGACCTGGAGAGAAGACGAAACCAACATTTTCGGCCCTGAGGACCGTTGGAAGCGGGGCCTGAAGGGAGTCCTGACATGTTACAGTGTTGACGGGTGCCGTTCTCGTAGAGGGGGCTGCACTCTAGAGAGTGCACTCTGAGCCCCAGTTCACGCGCAGAGTTCACGAACCGAGTAGACTCACCAAGTTGACTTGACGGGCCGAGTTCACGTACCGGTGCGAGTTGGAACCGAGGCGGTGTACGGAGTTGGCGCGCCGATCGTCGTTGGCGCGGACGGATTTTGAAGAATTGCCCCCCAGACAAGCCCAAGGGAGTATCGATCGATGATCTCGGAGGAGGGTCGGTCGAGATCTTCAGGCCTCCCAGACAGGTTCCAATTATGCATGGGGTCGGAGGATCGTGCCACGTCGCCGATGCGGCTCCACGTGGAGCCCGATAAAGGGGGCTGGCGGAGTGGGGACGAAGACTGGAGCCCGTTTTTGCTAAGGTCTGGGCGATAGCGGCCGTGATCGGCCCTCTCCCTCCCGCCCCCCGGATCACGTCACGCGATTCTGCCCACGCTTCCTTTACAAAGATTTTCTGCAGATTCCTCGAGGATTTCCTGAGATTTCTGGCGGCCCCCCGCCGTGATGTGATCGGGGGGGGGGGGGGGCGAACTTCCCCCCCCCCCTCCCGTAGACGGGCGAACAGCGATGTGGGCAGCGGCGATGCAGGTTTCGGTATTGTGGGAACGCGTGGCCCGCGCTTTCCTACCATTCGCTGTGTCGTGGTCGCTCGACTCAGTGGAAGGCTGGACATGTAGGAGAGTGTGGCTCCGGATGTCCTACAATTTGGTCCCCAACGGCACCGTCAAGCAATATCGCCGCTGCTGCTCACGCCCGTCATCGCGAATAAAGAAGCAATGCAGGGCCGCTGTGGGCGGCTCGCTGTCTCGGGGGCGGCCCAGAGAGGGGCGTGATGACCGTGAGGGCTGGACGTCATGGCCGTGGCCATGACGTCCACTTTCGGATCTCATGGCCCCCTCTTCTTATGTCCTCGTGACCCCCGAAGGGGGTCCAGCAGAAAGGGGGTGGTGCAATAGAGTTGGGGCAATTGCATTCCACCTGTACTGCGCCAGAGAATTGTGTTGCATTGTAGTGCAACGAATGCATGGCGCGCGGAAATCCAGCAATACACTTGCGCACCGGAAGGTCTTGCACGCCCCAAACGTACTGCAACCCCCGCAAATATCGATTGCGCCAGATCTATGGCACCACCCCCTTGTCGCTGGATCCCCTGCTGGGCCAACGTGGTCATGTCAATGCGGCACCTGGCCCCCCCCCCTGGGCCGCGGCCTTGTCTCCTGCCACGATCTGCGAGCCCCCCTCCCTGGACGCCCCCCTCCCTGGACACCCCCCCGAGCTGTCGCTGTCGCAGGGTGGACGCTGTCCTTGTGAGAGGAACGCCGCCCGCCCGACAGCTGCCGCTGTCGAATTTGGACAACGCCTGCCGTTGGGTACCGTCCCCACTGTGTCTCTTTCTCCTTCGGGGCGTGCTGATCGAGAATCGAGCATCGTGGAAGTAATAATGACATGAGCATCAACTTTAGGAGGTCCGCGCGGATTTCTTTGATCGGCGCTGGAACCCCCTGGCGGCGCCTCCGCCCTTGGCGCTCCGCGCGCCAGGGAGGGGGCGTCCAGCGCCGATCCAGCAAATCAGCGCGGACCTCAGAAAGTGCATGTGTATGGTATGTCGGCTATTGCTCCTGGAGTGCATCGTGGACCGAGGCTTGGTGATCTCGCTCCTCGATCCAAGAGTTGCACGCGGCGCATAGTTTTGGCGGCTCTCAAAGCCAAGCTTGCTTGCTGTGCCGTGGTGTTGCGGTACAAGATCGCCCAACTCTTGACAGGCTGACAGAGCGTGGATCGGAGATGCCCCGTTAGGCGCGCAGAGCTTGGTACAACGTGACGGGAGTGGAATAGTGCCAGCGGGGGCCAGGCAACCTGGGTTTGGTACCTCCAATGAGGTTGTAAAAGGCTCAACGGGATGGCGGTTCGAAAACGGCGAACCGCGTGGATCTTCCTCGCAAAAAGATTCGAACCAGGTTCGAAAGTCGGTTCGAATCAAAATTATGAAGTCGATTCGAAACATTAGAACAGTGAGCATTTCGTGCGAGACTTCCTCGAACAGATAGTTCGAACCCTGTGCGAACTCTGTTCGAAACAATAGAAAGGTACGACAAAAGGTTCGGGACCTTTCAGACATATTGTAGTGGTCTCCGGCCAGTGCCGCCGATCCGGGGCGCTCCGACTGATGTGATCCTCCTTCGCCCTCGTCCCTTTCCCTCCCTCCCCTTCTCACTCTGCATTTATCGAAGACGCCCACGGCGAACCACCGCAGCCCCCTGCTTTTAGGAAGGGCCTATGTGGCCGAACGTTGAGGCCAGACCTGCCAAGCCATCGGACCATGTGTTCCCCGAATCGGTTTGGAAAGCCTTCGGGGAACACGTGGGCATCTTGAAGGTCATCTTGGCCGTCTTGGAGGCCTCCTGGGCGATCTTTCGGCGATCTTTGGGGGCTCTTGGGCCGTCTCGGGCCGTCGGAAGGCCGAAAAGAAGGAACTGTCAAACTCCATCAAACACCGAAGTACAATCCATGTTTTTGGCCTCTTCTGGCCTTCCTGGAGGCCCCCTTGGGCCAGCTTCGAGCCCACTTCGGCCATCTTGGTGGGTTCCTGGCACGTCTGACGCCGTCGGGAGCCGTCTTGGGAGCCTTTCTGGGCCAACGGTGGACCCTCTTGGGGCGCTTCGGGGCCGTCTTGGAGGCCATCTTGGGCGTCTTGGAGGCCATCTTGGGCGTGTTGGAGGCCTCTTGGGCCGTCTTGGGGCCCTCTTGGGGCCATCTTGGAGGCCACTTGGGCCGTCATGGGGCCCTCTTGGGGGCCTCTTGGGCGATCTTGGGGGCCTCTTGGGCCGTCTTGAGCCGTCGGAATGCCGAGACGAAGCAAATTCCAAAATCCTTCAAAAACCGAAGGAAAATCAATGATTTTGGCCTCTTCGGGCACTCCTGGAGGACCTCTTGGAGGCCTCTTGGGCCGTCTGGGAGGCCTCTGGGGGGCCTCTTGGTCCGTCTTGGGCCGTCTCGGACTCTCTTGGGCCGTCTTGGAGGCCGTCTTGGACCATCTTGGGCGGACTTGGAGGCCATCTTGGGCCATCTTCGCGATTGTTTGAGGACGTCCCGAGCGAAACGACCGTTTCAGGGAGGATTTGTTGTGGAGTTTGCGCTCCTGGGCAGCCTCGTTGGGGCCTATTGGAGCTTTTTGGGGGCCTCTTGGGAGCTTCTTGGGGCCTCTTGGGGACCTCTTGGGAGCTTCTTGGGGCGGGAGGGGGGAGTACTCGAGTTCGGGACCCCCTCGGAGGCCACGATCCTCGTGAGGGGTATCAAAAAAATGCCCTCCCCAGAGACACGCGGGTAGCCGCCACAAGCCCTAGGAGCCCCCCCGGAAAACGGAGCACAATTCGTTCCCCCCCCCCCTCCCCCCTTCCCCGGCAGAGCCACCCCGGCCACCCCCCAGCAGAGCTGAAGCTCAGGCTGTAGGCTGTAGCTGAGGCTTTTTCGAACTCACACGCCGGATCGGCGGATGATTTGGATCCCGGTTTGCAGTCGGTCCCAAACACTAGGAAAGCGAGCCTTTCGTGCTGGACGTCCTCGAGAAGGTGTCTTAGAATCCTCTTCGAAGTCGGTTCGCAACAATGGGAAAACGAGCGTGCCGCGCAGGGTGTTTCTCATTGATATGACTTGGAACTTGTTGACAAAGAAGCTCGGAACAAACGAAACACTAGAACCGGAATCGGCCCAGGGAGAGAGTTCCAGATGCTTCTCAGGGTCTCGAATCATATCGTGGAAGCACGATCCCCCTCATCCTATTCCTCCTCCCCCTCTTCTCGGGACAACGGGCCTGGAAGGCGCTCTTGGGGAGATTTCCGCGACGCTTTAAGTATGTTATCAGGGGACCCCTGGAGTGCAAGCATACTTCCGACGGCTCCAGAGAGACCCCAGCAGGATTCAGTGGCGGATGTGGGAGGAGGAAGGGGGGAGTTGCTACGGAGTGGCGTGCGACTGCAAGCGTAGGCTTTGTGTGCTGGGCGCTCCAGGATGCGACGGCTGAGGAAGAAGATAGTCAGAACGAGGAGCCTGGTGGCGCGCAAGCAAGGGACACCCTCGCAGAAGGGAGGCGTCCACGGCCGGGCGGAAGTCCCGCCGCGGCCCGTGTTGCTATCGTGCGCGTCTCGGGGGCCGTTGTGTGCCAGCCCCCCGAGCTGTCCGAGCGGCCGCGGCCCCCGCAGCGGCAGCAGCGCCAGCGGCTGAGCCTCCGAGGCCGCCAGGCTCCACCGGCTCCATGCCTGCAGACGGCGGGGGGCCTGTCGGAAAGCCGCCCCCATCGCCTCGCCCCGTTCTGGGCGTGCCGCCAGGGAGTGGAAGGCGAACGAGGAGAATGAGGAGAACGTGGGAGAAGGAGGAGCAGGAGGAGGAGGAGAAGGAGGAGGAGGAGGAGGAGGAGGAGGAGGAGGAGGAGGAGGAGGAGGAGGAGGGGAGGAGGAGGAGGAGGAGGACGAGAAGGAGGGGAGGGTGAGGACGGGCGCGGGGAGGAAGAGGGCGAGGATGAGGTGGAGGGGGGGGACGAGGGGGAGGAGTGACAGGAGGGGGAGGAGGGGAGGGGGAGATGGAGGGGGAGCAGCAGGAGTTAGTGGGGGAGGAGGGGGAGAAAGAAGGAGGAGGAGGATGATAAAGAGAGGGGGAGGGAGGAGGAGGAGGAGGAGGAGGAGGAGGAGGAGGAGGAGGAGGAGGAGGAGGAGGAGGGGAGGAGGAGGAGGAAGGGAGGAGGAGGAGGAGGAGGAGGAGGAGGAGGACCGCCCGAAGCGCGCGGAGGGACGAAGGGAGAGCTTGATCGTATGGCTGGGGCCCCCACAGGGCCCCCAGCATCGATGATCGCCTGGCCCCGCCAGCACTCGCGGCTCCCAGCGAGGAGCCATCGCCCGTCGACGCGGTGTGCAAGCAGGGGTTCGACGACCGCCTGGGCAAGCTGGAGGCGGGAGGGGGGAGCTCTCAGATCCCACCGGGCCCACGGAAACGAAGATTGCACGGCTCTGCACTGCTTGCGGTAGCGTTCGTTACCCGGGGGGAGTGAAGCCACGGGCAACGGTACCGCCCGGTCGGAGTGGGGCACGTCGGGGCGGGGGTGCTCTGCGATCGCCACCAGACGCCCGCGAGCACCAGCACGTGTGCAGGGGGGGGTCCCTTCCCCATCCACGTACGATCGTTACCACTGCGACTCTGGTTACCAACCGTTGCGCGCCACAGGACCGGCACAGTATATCAAAACTCTTGGGGGCAAGATCCGCGCCACGAGACTCTGGATCAACCAGGGTCGAGGAATCACTCCCGAAGCTGGGGGGGAGATGGGGTCGATAGTTCTGGCTCGTTCTTTTTTTTTTAAGCGTGGGATCTCTTGGGAAGGGCGGAGGCCTCTTGCCTTCTGCGGAGCCCCTCGTTGCCACGGCAAGACATCCCTTGTGATCCTGCTGGTCTTGAGATAAAGGGGGGCGCCTCGATATCGTTGATGTGGTTTCTCCTACCTCGGCCCAGGTCGGGGACCGTCCAACGAAGGATTGCAGAAAAACCCAGAACGAAGGGTTTTTTTTGCAATCCTTCGACCCAGGGTTTCTTTTTGCAATCCTTCGTTGCAATCCTCAGCTCAGGACCCATTCCTCCGAAGATTGGATTCTTCAATGCGTGCGTGTCTCCCTCATTTCGGTTGCTGGGGCCCGTGATCGGTCTCTGGGGCTATCAGGAATGCATTCAGGGCCACGAGCTACTTTGGGTGATGGATCGGGACTTCTTCGGCCGCGCGGTGATAACAAAAAAATAGAAAAGATCGTCGGATGCCTGCATGGGGGATGAGAATGCTGGCCCATGGGGGAGCCCAGGGTTCCAGGACCCGTGTTTCCTCGGGACTCCTTTCCCTCGCGATGCAAGCCAGAAGCCTCGAACGATCCCTGGAAGCTTTCAGGGCCAGCCACCCCTCAGCAACCCTCGCTCCTCCCCTCCCCTGTCCTGGTGGCGAGGCTGCCTGACCTGCTCTGGAGAGGGGGGGTGAGGGCATGCTCGGCTCGGGGACCTACTTCGCGGACATGGTCAGCAAGGCCGACTGCTACTCGGGCAAGTACAACCCTCTGGACGTGGACGAGACAGACTATACCCACCCGGACTACTCGCACGCCACGATGTTCTTGGCCCGTGTGACGTTGGGCACCCCGTACGTCGCAGAGCAGCCTTTGGAGGGTCTGAGAAGGCCTCCTTGCTATGAAGGCCACTTCGACACGAACGTCATGAGCATAGAAGTGAAGCACGCCGGGAGCAAGCCATGGACTGAGAAAGGTCTTCAGATCAAGCTCTGTGACCATGGCCGTTTTGACTCCGTGATTACGGATCGGAGGCTTGGCAGCGGCAGGCTGTGGAACGAGTACGTGATATACGGCAAGCAGGCGTACCCGGAGTTCCAGGTGCAGTATCGTAGAGCGAAGGCCGACTAGCGCGTGCCTTCTTGCCCTCCTCGGGCCCCCTCCCCCTCCTCCTCCTCCTCCTCCTGCTCCTCCTCCTCCTCCTCCTCCTCCTCCTCCTCCTCCTCCCCCTCCTCCTCCACTCTCCCCACCCCTCCAGCGGGTCACGTGCCCACTGCGCGGGCGCCCCAGAGCTCTCGACTCCTTCCTCCTGGATCGGCTGCGGATGGCCACCGGGCCCAGGAGTGGCCCCCTACGGAGGCACGCTGGGACTGAACGAGTCCATCCGCCGGGTGGCCTGGGTCTCTCTCTCTCTCTCTCTCTCTCTCTCTCTTTTTTTTTTTCTCTCTCTCTCTCTCTCTCTCTCTCCTCTCAAGGCAACGATCGGAGGGAAAGGCTCAGGGGGGAACGCATCGACCCCTCATCTCCCCCAATCGCGCGATAGCCCAACTGGCCCAAAGCCGTGCTGATTCGCTATCGGTGGCCAGTCGCCGATCTATCGGTGATGTATCGCCGATTCCACCTCGATGTCTCCCCCGGGAACGGCCTCGCTGGCTGGGCCCCTGGGTCGCGGCCCCGTGGACACAGGGCGTTTTTTCGCTGACGCCCCGCGCGGAACGTATCCATGCGACCACGCATCCACGGGACCGCGCCCCAGAGTTCAGACCGCGGAGACGTCGATCCGAGGTGGGGGGGCGAGGTCAGGTCAGGTCGGGTAAGCCTTGCACCAGACGGCGCGCGAGCGGGGCTGGGACCGAAAGCTGCGGCTCGGCGGTCGCACTAAAGTTGTCCATAGGAGGAGGAGGAGGAGGAGGAGGAGGAGGAGGAGGAGGAGGAGGAGGAGGCCGAAGTGAAACGGAGACCCCCACCCCAGGAAATCGTTTTCGGTTCCACGCTCGTGTCTTGCGTGAGGGCGAGGCGAAGCTGCCTGCGTGCGCGGGAGCGCGACGAGTGAAATGCTCGCCGCTTCTGGGGCGAAAAGCCGGGCCATTTATTGTGGTGCCCCCCCCCCCCCCCGCTGGCCGGCTGTTGCCAGGGCGTGTCCTGGTGATGTCCCGATGATGTCCCGGTGGTGTCCCGATGGTGTTTCGATGGTGTCCCCGTGATGTCCACATCATGGTGTCCTCGATTGTGTCCCGACGGTGTCGAGATGGTGTCCCGATGGTGTTCAACATGGTGCCCCGATGGTTGTCCCGGTGGTGTCTCGATGGTGTCCCGATGGTGTTCACATGGTGCCCCGATGGTGTCCAGATGGTGTCCACATGTTGTCCCGATGGTGTCCCGATGGTGTCCCGATGGTGTCCCGATGGTGTCCCACTGGTGCCCCAACGGTCTCTCAATGGTCCTGTGGTTGTCCCCCAGGTGTCTCGCAGGTGTCCAGGTCGTTGTTTGAGGGTTCTCCGATGGGTGTCGTTTTGCACATTGGGCCCTTGACCAACTAAAGACTTCAAAAAACACGCCAAGTTGTTTAGACTTGCTTACCTTTTTTGTAGTGCGTACAGTCCCGTCGCCGTGGCTCTTCCTTTGCTTAGCGTGGCGGGCCGTCGTGTCGAAGGCTGCTCCTTGCCTTCACTGCCACCTTCGCTCCCGCTCTCCCGTTCCTGCCGCCTCCCGTGCCTCCCTCTCCGCGTGCAGGGCGCAGAGCTACGAAACAAAGCAAAACGCCCCAACACCGGTCTGCCACACCGGCGCGGACCAGGCCCAGAGGCCCCGCGACCAGCCAGCAGCGACGGCCAGTGAAGAGCAAGTACACATTATTCATTTCTAAGTATTCGAAAGTTTTTTGATTTTTCGGGGGGCCAAGTTCCTTTCATTTCTAATTGTTCTATATTGGGTCTCTTCCTGGCCACTAGGGGGCCAGGAGCAATTAGAAACGAGCACAATTAGAGTTGAGCGCGATGAGAAATGAACGACGTGTAGACGCAAAGAGAAGGAACTGAGGACGAGGTCTACGGCAATGTGAAACAGCGCGGTCAATTGATTCGAACATGCCGAATCAGCGGAGTTCAAACACAAACAGATGATGCTCAGCGTTCCAATTCTTTTACTGGGGCCTAAAGCGCTCAGACAGTGATTTCCACCGCGCCAAGCTTAAAGCTGCAAAAAACCTTGGCACCTGTACAAATAACAAAGTTCCCAATGTCACCATCATCACCGTCAGCATCATCACCACCATTATCATCACATTCATCACAGACATCGCAGTTGGCGTCAGTTGGTCCCCAAAGGTATGGATACGTTCGCCGCTCGTGGTCTTTTTGTTCGCCCTCACACTCCTGCCTTCGTTCCCACCTGTGTTTTCTGGATCTCAGCCTCTGAGGGGCATTTCTGGGCCCCGTTTTTCCATGCGCAGGCGGTCCTGGATGCACGGCTTGCCCCAGAGAAGCGGCCGATAGCTCTGGCGCCCGGGCATTGAACAGGCCGTCCGCTGGAGGTCTGGGTCGGTGCCCCTCCTCTGAGGCCAGACATTCTAAAAAACCAATCTCGCGAAAAGTCACGACCAGAGCCTCCTCCTCCTCCTCCTCCTCCTCCTCCTTCTCCTGCTGTCCTCCTCCTCCTCCTCCTCCTCCTCCTCCTCCTCCTCCTCCTCCTCCTCCTCCCCCTCCTCCTCCTCCTCCTCCTCCTCCTCCTCCTCCTCCTGCTCCTCCTGCGCCATTGTTCGGGCCAGGTCGATCTGTGAGGGCCCCCAGGGGCCGGCCGCGGGGCGCCAACGCCCGCTGCGACCGGCAGCGAAATCCGAGCCCGACCTTCGCCGACCAGCGATTCAGGCAACTCGATGGGCGGCGGGGGTAGGGTTCAAAATTCGTCGAGCGCACGGCGGAATTTGAACCCCAACCTTTTTTCGAAGAATCCTCTGGAATGAATCCGTACCGTAGGGAAGGAGCCCATTCAGGATCTAAGAAGCATTTCCCCACCGTTTTTGTTCCCCCTCGTCGATTCAGGAAAGCCGATGGTTGGTGGGGGTAGGATGCGGCTGCCGCCACCTGCGATTCTCTCGCTGTCGCCCTCCTCGCTCCTGCGCCCGTGGCCGTCCGGGCCCCCCGGCCAGCCGGAGGGCGGCCCCGATAACAGCGTTTCCGCATGTTCCTGGGCGGTGGAGGGAGCCTTTCGAGCCCCCGCTGGCGAGAAGTGGGCCATGGGGGGTCGACGCGTGCCCCCCCCCCCAACCCGGCTCCCGGCCTGAGCCTTCCCTCCCTAACCTCAGGAGGTCGCTAATCCTGCTGCCCCCCCCACACCCAGCGCTCTCTTGGCTGGCAACGACGGCGGCGGCGGGAGAATTCGTCCCGATTATTGTTGTGTGTCGGCCATTCTCAACTATAACCACCCGACAGATTCAATATAATGTTAGCTATCGTGGGCCACAAACCGTATATTTCTAGTTATGTATGTTGTGCAATCGAGCACTCGATGTGCTGCACTATATACTGTGCATTCTACGTTGTGCAAAATATGTGTGCAATCTACATATATATATATATATATATATCTCTATGGGTTCCCCCCCAAGGACCCTGCACACTTTTCTTACATATCATCTTGGGCGGGTGTAAGCTTGAATGGGTTTCGTCGGCGGCCCTTGTGTGTAGCTTCCGTGAGCACTGCTTCCAGACAGCAGGGCGGTTGTCTGGAACCGACCTCTCATTGATATGACATTGTGAAAACACTGTAAAATCCAATTTTCCAGATTTTTCCAATTCTCTTGGTACGAACCCTCGCTGATGCGGCAGATGGGAATGTTCCAATTCTCGAACCCTCGTTGGAACGGCAAAAAGAAAACACTGTGAAATCCAATTTTTCCAATTTTTCCAATTCTCAGGCGCCGAACCTCGCTGGTGCGGCGGGGGAAAACATTGCAAAAACAATGTGTTCCAAATGTTCCAATTCTGTGGCGCTGAACCGCTCGCAACATCGATGAGGATTCAGTCTGAGAGAATTGGAAGAATTGGAAAACATGGATTTCACAGTGTTTTCTTTCTGCCGTACCTGCGAGGGTTCGGCGCCGACCGACCTCTCATTGATATGACATTGCGAAAACACTGTAAAATCCAATTTTTCAGATTTTTCCAATTCTCTGGGTACGAACCCTCGCTGATGCGGCAGATGGGAATGGTCCAATTCTCGAACCCTCGTTGGTGCGGCAAAAAGAAAACACTGTGAAATCAGATTTTTCCAATTTTTCCAGTTCTTTCAGACTGAATCCCCATCGATGTTGCAAGCGGTTCAGCGCCACAGAATTGGAAAATTTGGAAAAATTGGTTTGAGCAATGTTTTCCCCCGCCGCACCAGCGAGGTTCGGCGCCTGAGAATTGGAAAAATAGGAAAAATTGGATTTCACAGTGTTTTCTTTTTGCCGTTCCAACGAGGGTTTGATAATGGGAACATTCCCATCTGCCGCATGCGCGAGGGTTCGGCGCAGACCGGCCTCTCATTGATATGACATTGCGAAAACACTGTAAAATCCAATTTTCCGATTTTTCCAATTCTCTGGGTACGAACCCTCGCTGATGCGGCAGATGGGAATGTTCCACTTCTCGAACCCTCGCTGGAACGGCAAAAAGAAAACACTGTGAAATCCAATTTTTCCCATTTTTCCAATTCTCAGGCGCCGAACCTCGCTGGTGCGGCGGGGGAAAACATTGCAAAAACATGTTTTCCAAATGTTCCAATTCTGTGGCGCTGAACCGCTCGCAACATCGATGAGGATTCAGTCTGAGAGAATTGGAAAAATTGGGAAAATTGGATTTCACAGTTTTTTCTTTCTGCCGTACCTGCGAGGGTTCGGCGCCGTACTACTACTACTACTACTACTACTACTACTACTACTACTACTACTACTACTACTACTACTACTACTACTACTACTACTACTACTACTACTACTACTACTACTACTACTACTACTACTACTACTACTACTACTACTACTACTACTACTACTACTACTACTACTACTACTACTACTACTACTACTACTACTACTACTACTACTACTACTACTACTACTACTACTACTACTACTCCTA